ATCTGGACGAGGAGTTGGAGGCACAGTTGTTTATCGAGAGCGTGCCTGTTGCCATTTCGCAGCAGCTGAGACTGGTACACGCCGCGCAACCTATGGATATCAGTAAGCTTGCAAAGGTAACGCGACAGTTGATGACACGAACAGTAGCTCCGGTCACGTGCGGAAGTCAGGAGATAAATAGCATGGAGAACAAAATTGAAGAACTGTAGCACGAGATTGCGGCATTACGAATGACTCGTGAAGGGAAAGATAAGTGTTACGCATGTGGAGGGACAGGACACTGGAAGATGAACTGTCCAACACGACGAAAACGGAGATATTTTAGACGTTACGTTTTTCCTTCTTACTCTAATGATCTGGGGGTTGTTGCATTAGTGGATAGAGGGGCAGTCTATGCAAGGGTGAACGTAAATGAACTAGATTTAGTGTGCCTAATCGATATAGGGCCAGCAGTTTCGTAAATAGGTAAAGAGCAATGTAAGATATTCAAGCCGTGTACAGTGGCAGTTCACACCATAGGAGGGCATATGTTAGAGGTATTGGGCGTGTCTAACAGTATCGTAAAAGTGGATGATTCTGAAATAAGTTTTCCGTTCGTGGTAACTGCAAACCTGTCGAGACCAATATTAGGAGCGGATTTCCTAAGAGAAGTAAAAGCAATAGTTGATCTAAGAAGCGGTAAGGTGGTCACGAAGTATGGTTCGTTCCCAATACATGAAAGTAGCGAGGTGGCAGAGTTAAGAGTGGCAACAGCCGTTCCAACGAAGAAACCAAACATTACAGTGACCACAGACGCAAGTGATCATGGTATAGGTGCCGTTTTGAGTCAGTCTGATAGAGCGATGGAATACGCAAGTCGCGTTCTCACGCCGGCCGAACAGAAGTATTCAACGATCGAAAAGGAGTGTTTAGCGATTGTGTGGACAGTAGACAAGTGGAGACCATATCTGTTAGGTAAACGATTTCACATCGAGACTGACCATATACCCCTACAGTGGTTACAAACAGCACGAGACCCCCATGGGAAGTTGGCGCGATGGATGATACGTTTGCAGGAGTATGACTTCAGTATCGGGCATATTCCAGGGAAGGAAAATGTAATGGTGGACTACCTGTCAAGACCAGACATGGAAGCCGAGCTTCCATTGACAGCATACACAGTGGGCAGTATAGAGGGAGAACCACTAGAACTCGTCCGGCAACAGAAATCTGATCCTAAACTTAGAGAGGTAATCAGAGTGATAAAAGAGGGAGCAGATGTTGACAAACGAGCAATGGACAAGGAGGTAATAATGTTACTTCGGCAAAAGGAAAGACTGAGAGTGAACACATATGGAGCACTGGTTTGGCAGGATGATGACAAAAATTGGGTGGCTGTGATCCCGAAAGACTGGCTGCGTAAGTTGATACACGAATGTCACCAGATAGCGCATACAGGTATTACAAGATCGACGGATTTACTGCGGCAAAGTACATACTGGCCAGGTATGAGAGACGATGTGGCTCAATATGTGTTGACGTGCCAGCAGTGCCAATTAATGAAAAGCGACAGATACACGCAACCGCCATTGCAGTCAGTCCCAGTAACCGCAGTCGGCGATCTATGGTCGATAGATGTGATGGGACCATTTCCACAGACGGTTAGCGGCAACCGATACTTATTAGTTATGACGGAACATGCTACACGATGGGTCGACGCTGTACCGATTGCAGACCAGAGGGCAAAAACAGTGACCGAAGATGATACTTACCGATCAGGGTCCCTGTTTTGAAAGTGACGAGTTAAAGGCCCGTTTAAAGCAGTTCGGCATCAAGAGGATACGAACTACACCGTATCAAGCTCACACGAACGGACTTACAGAAAGAAACAACCAGACATTAAAGGAATTGTTAGCATCTAAAGGAGGGAATTGGGAGAAAGAGTTACAACCAATTTTGCCGGCACATCGTGCCTCTATACAAGGAACAATCAGGAAATCACCCTTCCTACTTATGTATGGTAGACAGCCACGACTTTCGATGCATAATAAGACCTGGCCACAACAACAGAAGTGGAGAAAAACAAGATTAGGAAAAGAGAGGATAGAGGCAATAAAGAACGTGGAAAAGAAACAAATAACACACATAAAGAAGGCGGAACAGCAGAGAAGAGCGTGGAAGCCTTTTACAGTGGGGGACCTGGTAAAGTGTAGAGAACGGAAAGGTAAAATAGAAGGGTGACCAGGGTCAGGAAAGTTGACTTCTAAATGGGACGGACCGTACATTATCACGGAAAGACGTGGCTCAGTTTACACGATCCTGAGAGAAGACAAACAGAACCGTGTAAATGCCAGTCAACTGCAGAGATGGTTTCGAAAACATCATGAGTACGAGTCGCGAACAGCACCAAAGAAGATGGTACGGCAATCGAAAAGAATGCGAGAACAGCTTATTAAAAGGAGAGACCAGTGTGGTGTGGGCTAATCATATCGATATAAGTATTATGTATCGTGAGTGGGGAATAAGATTTCTGACTGCAGGAGTTTGAGAAATATAGGAAGAGAAGAATAGAAATAAAAAGCGATTGGTGTGGAAATCCAGGAACAATGAAGCCAGAGACAATTAAAGAACATTTTGCAAAGAGATTTTCAGAGTACGGTTTTTGTATTTTATTAAGCAACTTTGGAATTTGTGCTCAATATACAGTTGTTTGTCCGCACCTGTGTTCTCATTCAATAAACCATACTATTCATACTATTCTCTTCTTGATCTTCTCAATCTTCTGCTGTCAGATATTCTATTCCTTGCTCACCATATATACTACTTATGTCAATATAAGTAGCTCACACCACACAACAACAACAACAACAACAACAACAAAAACTACAACTACTACTGCTACTGTTTGCAACAGAACACGACTGTTGGACAATGGAATGTATTTAAGCAAAGATTACAAAGTATCTCAGTAAATTGTAATAACCATACAATGGACAGTTAATTTGCAAATTAACAACCAATAGTCTCCATGTTCGCTGTTTGTTCTTTGATTCCATTGCTCATGCATTTTCCAAACGATTGTGCTTCATTTGAGTTCTTTTGTCATCGGTTTTCTGCCGATATACATAGATTTGTGATTGTCAGTTGAATTAGTATCATTTATAGAATATAGAACATTTCATCTGAAGACTAAACTAGTGTCTTTTCTATGTTTTCTCCTATTGTGTTAATAAAGGTATCTATCAGTTGAATGACATTAATTTGAAAGTCATAATGAACAGAACTTTCTACTTTCTTCAAATATTCTTATAAGCTTCTGCTTGAATGGAATAATGACGTAAAGCAGCCTAATATTTTGTAGACACACGGGTCATAGTATGACCAAATCTGAGTTATTCAACGTGCAGTCCATAAAGTAACTGTGATAGGAGAGCGAATTTACGTTAAATCATGGACTAAGCTTGAATTGAGACTAGTCAGTCTATCAGTTGCTATGGCCTATAACCCATTTGTTGAATGCACATAGATTTGCAAATCACTTTACTTTTTCATTTCTCTCTCCTAATCCATGTCGTCAATTCCGACTTTGGCATTTAGATCTATCAGGATGGTAAGGTCCTTTCTTGAGCACTTAGCGAGGATTGATTGTAGTTTCTAACAGAAGTGACTTTTGCTGTCATCGGTGGATTCACAACATCGCGTAACATTCATTGTGATCCCCTCCTTTATTGTTTTCAATGATGCTTTGATAATTTCGGATCCATGAGATTCCCATTCTACAAGTGCATTTTGTACTTCTCTGGACAGCATTAGAGCAACTCTCTGAGTGTGTGGACCATTTTTCCTCTTCGTGATCGGAGTACAGCAGAATGTTTTCCGTATCTAGTCATTGCTCTTCAGCTTGCGTCCAACTTCATTGAGTATCTGGACAGCGACAATCACTATTTGCAATGTGCTATAACGTTAAAGCACTTCAATATAATTAAGGTGACTAAAAATAGGTTCAGTGTCGACTTCAGACTGTGTGTGCCTCGTAAATATGGAATTCCATGTGCAACGCTGAAATCCTATGTCACGTGAACTGTTCTCGCATGTAGCCATCGAATCATCATTCAAACCGTAGGGCTCTATTATGATGCTGATGAATAAAAAAACTTCTAGTTAACATCATTTTCAAGAGAAAGCTTTGAAAGAAGCTCTTGACCGTATTATAAAAATATTAACAATAACATCATGGAAGGAATCATAATCCGTCTTGATGACACCTCTATAACCATAGTTTGTCGCTCACCATTTACCTAATACGTATTAATCAAGTAACGAAATACGTATGTGTTTATCTAGGTATTGATAAAGTGTTTCGACAGATCGCTCCATCAAAATGAACACTCACACCGGACTCATAGTTGACTGCAATGATCACGAAATCACTTATGCGTAATGCCACGTAGTTACGAGTTAAATTTGTAGAACTCATGTGATATTATGCACCTTGAATTATATGAAAGCGATAACGCGAATATTGAAAACAGTGTTTATTATTTTATAAAAAAGATAACATTACCTATCATGTTAACAATCAAAAGCATGTACAAAGTATCATGAAATAACTGTCCAAATTAATAATAAGACAAATGAAATTCTAAAGTATTCTAATGAAAAGCAGAATTGAGACAACTTGTTAAGAGTTTTCAGAGCGATTTATAAAATTTTTTTATGGATCATTCATCACTTCTCTTTCTTCTAAGTAACCATCTCCAAATTATACAACCGATGCATATAAGAAATAGTGAGGCGACCAAAGGAATTACAATGTACAAGTACCAATGTGACTTGTCTTGCTTATTTTCTTCCGTTGTCCTTGTAGTCATATACTGATAAAAAAGAAAGGATTATCAGTTTTCAACAAATATCAAATATTTACCGATTGTTTATCTGTTTCTTCAGTAGTTTTCATGAGGTTTTCACTAACCTGAACCTCAGTGATCCCCGATGTTGTTTCACTGTGTTTCATAGTTGTTGAACTATTCAAATCGTTGACATCCGACTTCTTCTAAAATGATATAATCAGAAGCATTGATTACTAAACATCAAATATCATTCTTTTAATTCATTCCACAAAACGTTGCAGAATTTACATACGTAAAAACCTTCAGGATATCTTTTAGCGATTTAACAATCAATATGCTTAGCAAACACTATCCTACAGCTGGTTGACGACTCGATGATATAATGAAATACGTGTTCTTACTGTCAAATCTAACCACAAACCGAATATAAATCAACAGCCTTATAACTGATAGCTTCATTGAAGCAATCTATTGAGGTTATATATTTTTCTACAGAGTATTATAAATCATTGTTTCGGAATTCGACAACTGGAGTACCAATGTACCGATGTGACTTGTCTTGCTTATTTTCTTCCGTTGTCCTTGTAGTCATATACTGATAAAAAAGAAAGGATTATCAGTTTTCAACAAATATCAAATATTTACCGATTGTTTATCTGTTTCTTCAGTAGTTTTCATGAGGTTTTCACTAACCTGAACCTCAGTGATCCCCGATGTTGTTTCACTGTGTTTCATAGTTGTTGAACTATTCAAATCGTTGACATCCGACTTCTTCTAAATGATATAATCAGAAGCATTGATTACTAAACATCAAATATCATTCTTTTAATTCATTACAAATTTACGTTCATTACAAATCATTCCCAGTAATGATGACACAAGAGATTCTCATACATAGTTGCTGAATTCGAATTCGTCAAAACATTCAGGATATCTGTTAGCGGTTTGACAATCAGTGTACTCAGTAAACACGATCCTACACCTAGTTGACGACCCCTTTGTGTGATGGAATATATGTTCTGGATGTCACATCTAATCACAATCCGAATATAAAGCAAAAGGCTTATAAGGTACAGCTTCATTGAAGCAATCTATTGAGGTTACATATTTTTCTACAGAGTATCATAAATCATTGTTCCGGGATTCAACAATGGTAGTCTACATACTTTCACTAATTCTTCTAATGTGATTCACAATTTCTAACTGTTTACGCTTCTTCACTTTACCTGGTTTCATCGGTATATTGTTACCATTGACATACATCTACGTTTACATTAAAGACTTTCGAAATTACGTTTTATTCACTGAGCTGAAAACATAATTTGAAACGATGATGGTGAGCGATGCTTCGATTCATTGTTTACTGTTTTCACGAAAAGGAAGCATGTACTCATATGTCGTTAACCTATACAAAGCTTTTATTCGGTCACTGAGGATGGCTAACATTCCATTTCTTATTGATAGGAATGAAAGTATTTTTTCCAGTAAAAACATTTGCTCAGAATGTGAAATTTGAGGTTATTGCAAACGACATATGAAGTTTACCAATTACCAACCTCAACACTGCAGTCATTGACTTTCAAGCCATGAGTGTTCTGATCGTTACTTTCTATACATTTCTTCCCTTTTTTACACCAAAAACATGTCATACTCAATGTGGTTGCTCTTTGGCATGTTTCACTTGTATTGTATTGCGAACAAATTTCTATGAAAAGAGTAAGGTGAATTCATTTGAAGTTAATGAATAGAAGAACAGAGAAATAAGAAACCTGTAAATATTACTCAATGATGTGATGGTGATTTCTGAGTTAAGTGACTTATCCATTCGGTGGAAAATGGTCAACATGGTGCATCATGCAAAACTCAGTACACCTTCAATTTCACTTCTATTTCAAGACTGCATTTTTGGATTGAATGAAATTACTTTGAGTACAAAGAATAAGTGACGACTTTTTGACAAGGGGAAATTGATGACTTTTAATAACTGTTCGCATTCAGACATGTGCACACTACGTTGTCACTGAGTTCAGCAAAGCGTATTGCGATGGACTTTCATGGTTTTACACTTTCTTTCCGTGAAATCGTTTTTGTGAATAAGTGCCATAAACTCGGTTGTTCATAGACACAAAATTTAAATTGAACTATGTTGATTCAATTAAACAACAAAGGAAAAGTGACATCGTTTTTCCATTCGTCAATGACAACTTCAATGCCTCAGAAAAGTTCTACATCACATATATCAAAATAATAACAAACACTTCCTTGTCAATGTTCAATCGCTTACTAACACCTAATATTTTTCGAAACCGAACGCATTCCATTATTCATTTTGTGACTTTATGTTCAAGTTAACTTCATCACAGTGAAAACTTTAATGTAGTTGAAAACCGGTCGTTATTCATGCTTAATATTCAACAACGAATCAACGGGTAGTTATAAATAGTAAGTGAAACGTCATTTAAGACACATGCTGGATATCATTTATTAAATGATACATGGGATTTTCAATTTTCAGCGAACAAAAATGATGTATTTAAGTGCGAAAATAGTAAGTGCTGATTAAATCAAATTTCACGTACCTCCGATGGCTTCAAACTCCACCAACGTACCACTCTTGATCCATTTTGCTGGAACAGATATCTCATGCTTTGTGTGACCTTGTGTGACAAAATGAAAGGAAAAAGAGATTTAGAATTTCGTCTTCTTTTTTGGTTCACTTAAGTAGAGGGTAAATCAAGGATCTATAGTATTTTTCATACGTACAGAGTGATGACTGTCTTAAAAAAGACTATGGTTTACATCACTCTGGTTTTTGAAACCGTCCCGTTAAATTATAAATGAAATAGTTACGTTTATGAGTTATTTAACGATGAAATCAGCTGAACGTCTGGGATAGATGCGTTCATCCACTTACATATTATTTCATAATGCATATTACACGGAGGCAACATTCAAATCTACAAATCAAGGAACAATGGTGATTTGTATATCAATCTCAGACGCGCGTTTTGTCTTATTTAGGACTTATCAGGGACTGAAAACCAGCACCATTCATTTCCATTTCCATTCGGTTATCCACTTATCCAATCAGTCCATATACTCAATGACTTGTGAAACTGTATGAAGCTTTAAATCATTTTTGAATTGTTATTGAATCTTCCGATTGATGTTGAGAAACCGTATTTGATTCTACTGCTATTCCTCATCCATCTTTACGCACAATGCTTATGACTTTAGGCAACATCCAGATAATCCTAACAGAGTGCATATATATTAATAAGAGACTGATCAGTTGCAGTACAAAACACTAATGGGAGGACTCAACCAAGCAATGAGAAATGACAAATATGTTCGCTGTTTAAGTGACTCAATGACTCAACAATGCAATTAAACCTGTCAATATGAAACATTTGGCGAAACATTTGATGAACCTTCTCACATTCAGTCATAAAACACCGTGTCTCACCTATTCACGTACACTCAAAACTCCTCTTCAAACTCAGCTTCATCTCTCAACAACACATGTTTATTTCAGTGAAGCAAGACGATTGAACATTTCGTAGATGAAATATCATTTCCAAACTAGCACTGCTTTATTTCTGCTTCATACAAAACACACTTCCTTTTACATTGAGTGTTGAGATGATCAAAGACTGCAAGTTTGATTGTATTACTGTGTGTGTGAATGCATGAGTGGATATATTTTGAGTTTGATATAGTCATTCATATATCCATATCTGGGTGAGTCTACCGGTAATCACAACTGTAAGAAGTTCTCAAAATGTTTGGACTGTGTGTTTACGAAAATAATTCCAATTTCATTCTGCACAATGAGCCACAACACTTAAATGACATTTCCACGAACTGACTTTACGCAAGAACAAAGTGGATAATAATCACTGTTAGAAAGCTCTCTCTGATAAGATACATGGATTTTGTTCATTAACATGCTCATGACCTAGTACAAGTTGAGAGTAATATAAAACCAACTGGTGATTGATGATGTACGTCACCGTACGTCAAAGGGTTAACGAGATTCGGCCTGTTTAAACATCTGGGCTACCTGTTCCCGTCATCTAGATATTTCAAAAAGTTATCTAAATTTGTTTGTTTTAATACATCATTATGCCTAGTAATCGCACAACCTATTCAGATGCATTTCTGAAAAGAGTAAGTGTTTGACCTGTAACAGTTGCAGAAGGCAATATGCAGCGAGAAGAATGTACATTATCCAGATGTCCATTAACTGTGCTGCAAACTTCTAAGTGGCGATCACTAAATATTTATCGTCAGGAAGGACGAAAAAGTAAGAAACAGAAACTTGCTGAAGTACATTGTGCTGAGAATTCTATATTGTACCAAAAATATTATATTGAATAAAGCTAATAATAATAATAGTAATAGTTCTCTGAAATATTTCTTACCTCCTTCACAACGTATTAATCCATTTAGTTTCGATTCCAACTTCGTTTTTGCAATTTCCGTAGGAATCTGAAAAAAGATTGTTGAATGTCTGAGACAAGATCTGCTACCACACAATCATTTATATGAAATCGAATAATTACTGGAGAAATGTATCATTTAGATCATCTCATTAAAAGCCAACTAATCGCACTCACACTAGGCATACTGATATTCTCAGTTTACTTTCCATGAATGTTCCATCCAATCTGTATAGATATTCTTGTCAACTTCGATCAAGTGTTATGAACTATCTCTCCATCATAATATGTGGAGATAACTTGTGGGATGAATATCACCGTCTATTGAAATGAAATAAGATTGTGAATATTCGACAGGATGCTGCACTCAGGATATTCCACAGTGAACATTCTGAACAGTCGATCGTCACTACATGAAATAAAACTCAACAGAATATGACACTTTCCGTATAGTAGCCAAACATTCACAGCCAGTTACTATTTGGCACGAACAGGTTATTGTTTCTTCTGAAAGAACTTTACTTCTGATTATTCACTGTTTCTATCACTTGCTTGATTAGTGTCACTTGAGGATTGATAATAGTGTCAACTAGTCCGCTTGCCTATTACACAATGTTGATCTCTTACTATAGTGTTCAGTGTAACTAGATTAATTTGACAATATTGATCAACATGAAATAGTAGAATGATATGAATTACTTGAAACAATATCACATTTTCACTAAATTATGCAACTCACGTTATCATAATAGAACGATATTTTCCCACTTGGGTGTATTAAAGTCGTCATTGTGGCTCTAACCTCTACAGTAAGAAGAATATTGATACTCATGATTTAAGATTTGAACGATGAGCAAGTTATTGTTTGATGTAACACTGTGGACAGATTTCAGCGGATATTAACTGTGTTGTTTGAAATGCTTTCTTCAGATGGATTGATAATAAATACATTGAAGTAAACGTCATTGAAATGAGACGGACATGAATCCCTTCTAACAAATGTGAAATGCCTAGATTCTGAATTTGGGTTACTACTATCGAAACAATAAATCATCTACTTTACCATCAGGGATCTGATAGTGAGGGATGTAATGACATTCTCGCAATATCCTAAATAATTCAATTTGAAACAATGAAGACTCAGTATGCATGAAATGATCTTGTGCGTTTGTCCACATATTGAACTTGAGAAATAAATTGGTGGTATATATATAAAGATTTCTATTGGTTAACTGATTCTGCCTTCAGTGTCCATTTGTTGTAGATGAGAAACGAATAGCTTTAGATAACGATTTCTCAGTTGGCAACGTCAATGTTTGGGAATGACTATGCGATGAAAGGATGTGTAAATGAATATTATGTGTGTAGCAATGGCTTTGTCACCAATGTAGAACACAATTCATTTATTTTGGAACACAGACTGCTTATCAAGTTCCACTTAAACCCGAAATGATAATAAATCTCTGCATTCGTTTACCAACAAGCAGAATGAGACTGTGACTTTAATTATCCATGATCACTTATTTATTGCCTGTCAAATCCAATCATTCACAGTTCATTTCAACTGTTCACAATGTTTCAATGGATGTACTCAATTAGTGAGTGAATTTCACATTCAATTCTACCATCGTTTGCCAGAATAGTAGCACATTCATTCTTTCATTAGTATTTTGGAAGGTTGGATTTGTTTAAAAAGAACAGGCGAAGTATGAGTAATCACAGGCAGTGACGATGTAAGTGTAAAAGTTTCACGCGTGTGATCGAACGACCAATCAGTGTTTACTCACCTGCACCATTTACGTTTATCGAAAAAGTTCTTTTCACTCCTATTAATTTCGCTGAAATAATCAAAATCAAAAGGGATGTTTAAATATCTGAATAATGATCATCTATCTTTTTCAATAAATATACTTTTTAACATGGACTGCCGACTTATACAAGTTGTCGTCTCCATTTACAGGTTTAAATGAACCGAAGTAGTTAAATGCTAAATCATCTCCCATGAGAAAAGTCCAAGGAATATTATCTATTCAACAATATGACGAACGTTTCAATGCAATCAACTAAGAAGAATAGTTCACTTCTTTAAAATTTCTTCTAGAAGCTTCTGACTGAATAATAGACCTTTAATAGGTATCCGACAATACAACAACAAAGTGTTTTTTGGATCCCTTTATTCATGAATTCTTACGTTGGACCGAAATAAATGAATGTCACATTGATGAATTAAGTGTTCTGGTATGAGTAAATCATCTTGTACTAGCGGACCGTTCAAGCACGTTCATTGGTCAGCCGTTTCACGAAGTGCATGGATTTGAAATGCATAATCATACAAATACGATCACAAAAATAGTCTTGAATAATCGAATAGTAACACACAGCAACTCCGAGACATTAAACATTGAAGAATCAAGTAAGTGCTATAAAAGGTCTAGAGGACTTCAAATATAACTTGATAATTCATAGGCTTCAATAATCCAAACCTCCTTCTCTCACAACATAGCTAACTATTGCACAAGTGATCACTTTTATTCACTCAATCTACCATGAAGTATCATGTAGATGAGATATCTTCTGTTTTGTAGTTTTCATAGACTGGAGGGTTGGTAATTTTTACACTTTCGCAATCATATCACATGGTCTATCATTTCTATTCGATGAAATTGTATATTTTCAGGTAGATCTCTGTTTAATTTACCAATTTCACTTTACAACATTCAACACCTGCTGCGATACACACACGTTCTGTTGCAAAAACAACACAAACACAACAATCACTTTGTATTGGTTACCACTCTTGTAATCATCATTATAAATACTGAATCTTTTATACAAAATAAGTGTGAGAAAAGTGATCAAAACAAAGAATAACTGAATAATAGAAGAACTCACTCTCGTTCAAAATTCTATATTCAGACTTTTTATAGTTTTTTATGTAATTATCAATAATTCCAATTCGGGACTCTTCATATACATATATTTTATCTGTGTTTATTGGATGAAAACATGTCACATTATTGATAAATTTGTAATGAATGAATAAATAATTTTAAATAATAAAACTGAACTGTATTTGGTTTGCTATAAAGAGTCAAACCATGTTGAACAATGAAAAAAATATTGAAAGAAGCTTTGCATGTTACAAGGAGCACAAAACTGATTCACTGAAGAAAATAGAATCAACTTTGATTCATTAACTGAAATTGGATCAACAAAACTCATTAATAATTTGAATGCAAAAAAAATTATGACTTACGATATTCGAAAAATTCAATTTCTTGTACGTGACTACCGTAATAACTAAACGAGAATTGAGGACGAGCCAACTGAAATGTTGAAAACATATGGAAAAATATTTTTATTATAAAGTGTATTCAACTCACGTATCTGCCATCTACCTTATTATTAAAATGTTCACTCGGAACTGGTTGAGATTGGTTACGTTGAATCCTCATTGAATAATTATAATGAATAGACTGGAATATGTGTATTAGAATGTATCTGATTACTTACATATCTATATGTGTCATTTTCAATAATGACATTCTCATAGTTGCGCAAATCAGGGTTGTTGCAGATGTCGTTGCAGTTGGAACGTTTGTAGGGCCAAACGAAAATTAGATAAATTAGTATCCATAGACTAGGCGAAAAGTTATATCTAAAATGATCCAGATGAACAAATCGACGGTATATCATTGAATTCAATTTCAATTTCAGTTCGCATGTTCATTCAACACTTACCTCATCTTATCGTGTCAAGTTATAATTCAAATTTTTATAGAAATTGTCGGGTTTATATAGACTTTTGAAGTGTAAAGTTGTTCTCTTCTGATTCGATGATTCAAATTAACCATTAGAAAGATCGAATTTAATAAAATCAGATGTTCATTATAAACCAATCATGGAGGTATATGACATTATCGTTAACCAATATTCTTCTGGCTGTTGAGATCATGAGCTGAAATTTATTCACTGTTGATTGAAATTCCCGACCCCTGTGGATAAAACTTCTCTTCGATGTGATAGACAATATTCTGAAATAGGTGATTGGTTAAATTGTAGTTCAAAATGTGTTCTCATATGTTTACGAACAAACAGTTTGTTGTCTGTAATAATTTATTGATTATTCGTCAAGGATGAGTTGTTTTGATTTGATTGGGTAAAATCAAAGTACAATTTGCTTTGATTGGATGGTAACAAATACTCTTTTACACATGGATTTTGTTACAATAAGCACATTTTGTTAAACGATTTCACCGTCGTTTTTTTTAAAACAAGTTTTAACTTCTGAAGAATGTCACATCCATTCTATTTGTATACCACATTATAACACTGACTTTCAATATATGTCCAGATCAAAAAGGATAATGATTTTCCTATTGAGTACATTGAAATAGAATCAATTGTGCTCAATTTCATAGATTGAGTTCTCAAATCATTGTAATCAGAGGAAAATAATGCATTCCGCCGAAAGTGAACTGTTGAAAATGGAGAGAACGATTTCTTATACCAGACACATTCGAAACTATAAGATTGATCATTGTATCTGAAAACTAAAATGTTTGTCAATACTCAAATACAAGACTGATTTTAATCTGTGAATTTCAATGATGTATTCCCTCACATCAGTTGAACTTGTATTTTATATCATCTGTGTTCAAATATATGAGAAAATCACACTGATAAGATAAAGTCAAGTGGATACTTAACTTACACTAAACATGGAATACTGACGAACGAATAAAATTCTACACATTCATAACTGAATAATAATTTTGGTGAAATAAGTCAGGAATGTTTGTTTTTGCACGATATTTAAAAATAGTTTTCCTCCTGACACAGTAGAGGTGTATTATTTTACTTTAGACAGATATGAACACTAATCAAAATGTTGTTACCTTGACAATCAATGTTTGTTGTCGAATAATAAGACTGTTTGGGTAATTTCGTGAATTCATCAACATCAAAATTGTCTTCAGTGGTGCCTTGTCAATTCAATGCCGTTGACCAATATCTAATTATGAGAGGAAAAGTTATCTGTGCATGTGGTAGTGTAGATCAGTTAACCTGTTTGAGAAGAGTATGATTCAGATCATGAAGTATTCAGTGGGGTGTTTCCCTATAGCGTCATGTGTATTTCGCAAATTATTTTTAGAGAATGTGTTGTAAGTATGAAGTTTGCTACACAACATAAAGAGGCTACATGCTTTTAAGGTTATGCGACATCAGATCTTACATTTTGCCAGGTCTTGAATATAACCTCTTATTCTTCATTCTTCTTCATAATCATTTGACAAGCTTTAAAAAGAAAGCTTTTGCTGTATTGTGAGAAATACAGAAAGCAGTTGACAAGGTGTGTGGTGAACCTCTTGAAGTCATCAGTAAAATGACAATGAATAGACTTCTAATGTCTAGCCCAAACCTGAAATGTGTTTTCCTAATAATAATCATCAATTTCGTTTACTATTTTTCTTCGTATATCTTCCGGTAGAAGCTGTAGAAATGTATTTATAGATGATGCTATAGTGGTCTGTGCTGAAACAGAGTAGTTTTACAAAATTATCAAAAGATAATGAAACTCATCGAAGAGGGTCTCAATGGAAAAGTAAGAAACGGACTAGAATTGACTTTGCGGATTCGGTTTCTCCAGGTAGGGAAAATAATTCGATCTATTCTCCATCCTCAAGAGCCAGACGAATATGTAGTGATGACACAATTGGTGATGATGAACTTAATATAATTAAACAAACTCTACGGGAAACAAGCTACAGAACCATCTCAATTATTGATTGTTATCTGAAATCAGGATATCAAGTTGAATAAAACCTCATACATAGTAGGAATAATTGACGACAGAATATTGAATTCAAAGGAAACATGGCATCGTGGATTTCAGAGAACGGACTATTCATATCCTTAAAAAGCATTCTATTCTGCCGTATTCCGAGTTGTTTTCTGTAGCAGGAATCTAATCAGGACAGTCTCAATGATCAACTTACGCTTGGTGAGATGCATTAATTCATTTGCCAGAATATGCACTTAAGGCAAAACAGATGATAAGCTATATACAATGCATAAAACGTTTTCCGAGAATGACACTAAAGCTATGTTAATTGACAGTGCGAAACAGAGACAGTGGAGTGCGATAACAGTTTCCTAATAGCTACGAACGATTGTTCGTTCCGTTGCTTCTTTGTATTCCGTCTTCTCTATTTCGATTAAATGGACAATCATCTTTTACATCTAAAAATCATTAGACATCACGAAGAGAGTGACAGTATATTGAAAGTATATTTGAAGTGATTGAGAAGATAACTCTGATCAAAAGGAACACACTGTCCTCGATGAACAGTAAATGTTAAAACAGAAAGGAACTTGTGCTACTTTCATCCTCTCAAAACTGTTCAAACTGAATTCACTTAGTATTGTTTGTGAACATCAACTCTGAGATGCAGGTACATCCAGCTGACGAGTCCCAAATAGGACGAAACGCGCGTCCTGGATTCCACTGCTAGCCACTATCCATCTCTGCTTACCATGCTTGTGAATTAAGGTATATCGAGGCAATACGCACAGTATGCACATATGCCAATTAGAGACTGACCAGTTGAGTCCTAAACACATCGATAGGAAGATCCAAACAAACAATACTAAGTGAATTCAATTATAAGAATAGTTTCTATGATGTGATAGTGTGATCTGTCTGTTAACCTTGACCGTTGTTTTTGTTGTTGTTCAAATATCATTCATTTTAATTCCGCGTTGTTTATCATCAGATTTCATCTATGATATGACATTTTCTTTTGTATAATGAGCATGATATGAGTTGTTATTATAATGAGGGATGCCGCTCTCTACTAATACATTCATATGACTGATCATCTTTGACACATACAAAAGAAAAATGAATGAAATTTTCATTTTACATATGACTAATACTTTTCCGAAGCCAAAATGTACTGATAGTTTGTTCATCAATTATTAGAAGGTCTTGATTCAGTTATGAGTAAACACTAAAATCATCTATTATCTTATTTCAAATGAGTCTAGTAATACTGGTCGAATAGAATTATCTTGATTTCAAGTCTTCAATTGAAATCTGTGAAGATAATTGAGTATACGGCTTGCTTAAGGCTGCATTCCACCTCCAACATATAACATATAATCAGCACATGTTGCTTTCAAGATAATGTCAAATAGTGCAAGCTAGATAATTTATGAAAGTATAGAAACCAACATACAACCGATTTCGATTATGGTTAACTTTGCTTATGCACCCACTATGGAAGAGGGTGCAATTCAGTAAGTCCGTTCTGTATTATGAATTGTACAATTTGTTCTTTTTATTGCTTTTATCTGTCCCTTTTTTTTACACTTGCTTCTTCTTCTGCTGCAAACATGCCTTCCGAAAATACTGTGTCACGTTTACAACAAACCCTGTCTGTGAAAGCTCTTATTCTTCTTTTTCACACGTTTTATGGTCACCATCACACAGCTTCGGTTTACTGAACTCAAAAATTATTTTTTGGTTAACTTCATTAACGTAAAATATAGGCGAGTACCGCCATACATTTATTCATCTACCGAAAACTCAACCAAACTAAATGAAGCCTTCAAAACTCGTCAGTGTCCCATTTTCGTTATATCCTAGTGGAGATCAAATTATAATCAAATTCTGTGAAATATTGATGGGCGAATATTATTTATATTCTTATTGCATAATGTCTCAACAACTAGACTGTAGACGTTCGTGTCCTTCTTGTCGGAAGCTTCATTTTCACTTACAAATATCATGAGATTTACGATTCCTAAGTTATTTACACCCTCCTAATTGCAGTAGTCCACAATCATGACAACTTTACGGCTTGATCATGTACAAATGTGATTTACAGTTATACGTTGTGATGTGGTCTGTTTGGCTTGCATATAAATCAGATATACTTGAAGTGGATGATTTGCATATCGGAAGCTGTTGTGTTGTTCAAAACCTACTCCAGTCTTTCTCACAGATGAACACGTTTAAATTCAGATGTTCGAACAGTCAATTGCTTACAGATCCTCAAACAGAAATCCATTTTATGTTATTCTGATTCGGTCGAATCGCGATTTTCCTCACAAGAACTAATTCAATTCGATATATCTGACTACAATGGTAAAATCCAATCAACACTGAGGACTAAATCGACATAGAGTTGATTGATGCCTAATAATCTATTAGTGGACTCACATAATCAATCCGTTGCTCAAGAATCCTAGAGACATGGCAACCACAAATTTCAATAAAATCTATCTTTTGAAAAAATTAGCATTAGACTGGCATCAAATTGCGTAATAATTACTGATGGATATCAGGCAGAAATTATTTCACATGCTAAAAACTAAAGTCAAACATCAAGTAGAATAGAATAATAAACTGCGAAATAAGTTACGTCATACGGGATATTAATCGGTAGGATGAATGAAGAATAAATGTATAGCAGTTCACTATTGGAAGTGGTTACATAAGTGTGGAAAATATGAACATGACCTTGACAATGAATGTGAGTTAGCTGATGATGATTATGATTTGGAAGATGGTGGTCATGATTTCGAGGATGGTGTTGTTGATGATGACGATATTTGGGATATTCCTTAGAACAAATATGATGATGATGATAGCGACGAGTGTGTGTTGCGAAAACAGATAAAATCAAACGACCTAATAACAGCAGTGGATAGACATCCATCATTCTCTATTGCCAAACACAAAATTGAA